GCTGATCCCTTTTTGTGATCTTTGTTCAAATCTGTTTAGACTTGCTGATAAGACTGATAAGAATCTTACAGCTCAGGTTTTCATTTGTACACTTGTTTGGACCCCAGGTGCCAGTTCTGGAGGTGCTGCTTCTGGAGGATCTGGCGGCCTCTTTGGTGGTGGTGGCTCAGGTTCTAGCAGCAGTCTCTTTGGAAGCAGCTCGCTTGGTGCAAGCAGCGGCGGATTGTTTGGTAGCAGTGGCAGCGCTGCAGGCTTGGAGTTGGAGACATAGGAGGAACTCGGAATCGCAAAAGAAGGGGACGTTCAACTTGTTGAGAGTCAGTGTTTGTGCTCAGGGAGGTGTGGGTGGGAGCCATGTTGAACGCGAGTCAGCTTGGGTTAAGGGACTTTCGAAAAGATAGAGAAGAATCACCAAATAAGCCCCAACTTTTGCCACACATCCAGGTGGCCTCTTTGGTGCCAGCAGCAGCAGCTTCTCTGCAGACAGCTTCTCCGGAGCTAGCAGCAGCGGCATCGGAGGCGCGAAGATTCAGATTTGTATCTGACATTCCTAGGGCCTTGAAGATTGCCAGTTGTAGCAGCGAAGACTTGATGCCGCAATGCCCCTTGATGGCTCTGGTAGGATTGAGTGGAGCTGGCACTTCAGCGACCACTTTGGGAAGTGGAGGCAATGCTGCCATGTTCATCAGACTTCGATCAACTTGAACTGGGTTCAAGATGTTTCAAGCGCCTTGATGGGCAGCACCAGTAAGAGGCACACACCTTTGGTAGTCACTGGTAGTTCAGGGTGCAAGGCAAAGCAATCTTGCCTTATGTAAACATCTCTTCACGCAGCAACATCTCCACACTAAGGTGTGATAAGCGTTATTTTAAAGTCTTAAAGTGTCTTTGTCTTAGCCTCTTATTTTTGGAGTGAAATCCAAATGACATCCGATAGTAAGGTTTTGGGATGCCCGATTGGACCACGCACGTGGACCCCGATTCGCGGAGGCGGTTCGCTCTTCAGTGCAGGGAGCGGATCATCATTTGGAGAAGCTGGGGCAGCCTGGGGCCTAGTAACAAGGTGCCTTACTAGTAGTAACAAGAAGCTAGTAGTAACAAGTGCCACGCTAGTAGTAACAGGTGCCTTACTAGTAGTAACAAGAAGCTACTAGTAGCTCCTGGCATTACTACTAGTAGCAAGAAGCTACTACAATCTTTTGAGGTTTCAGAGACAAGTTTGTTAGTGCTCAAGGTGCCGATCATGAAGCTTTCCTAAATTTGTATCTTCTGGATGTGCTCCTATTGTCACACTTGCAGCATGGAATGCAGCAAATCCAATCAAGGCAAGTGCCACAGCTTTTCGAGGTGGAGAGAGGGGATGGGAAGTGGGTGAGAAAAGGCACAAATAGGTTTTCACTTGAGCCACTTTGCATGGGGCAAAAGTCAGAGGTTGTTAGCAGGCTTGAAAGGTGTTGCCAATGAATCTCTAGTGTTCAGGTATTCCGTCTGAGACTGCAAAGACCGGTCTTACAGAGGACATGAGCAGTGTCTTTTTGCAGATTTATTTATCCCTGAAAAACGGCTTGTTGTACTATGTCAGGAAGCAAAGACAGCACCCTCTGTTGGCTTGGGACTCAAGATGAGAATGCAACATGACATCATGTGCATTGTTGCAACTCTCTAGACACAAAAGCTGGAAGCCTAAACATGTTTGGCGCATTTGGTTTATATATGGTGGCTTATGCGTATACTCATGGATGGCATGGGCTTGAACTGCATGTTGAAGGTATGCCTTTGGAGAGCGCAACTCCTGCACCAAAGGCAGATTCAAAGGACCACAACTTGGTGCACTGGGGCTGAGGTAATCTAAATAATGCCTTAGGTACAAAGGCTCAGTTTTTCCATATTTTGATTACTCCGAATCGCCTCCTAAACAGTGAGCAGGAGCTGAAGTCTAAGCACGCAAATGCTGAAAAGATCCTCGAAGACTTGAGAAAGTCCAAAACAAAGGTGCTCGAGGAGCTTCTCGTCGGCAACTTTTGTTCCGGCGACTTGTGTGGAATGTCACAATGGGTACGGTACTTCTGCCAAATTATGCAATTCTCTGTTTCCGAACCTCAACTTGGCCAAGGCTTCTTCCGTGCTTCGAAGCCTTGGAAAAGGAGCTCACAGAAGTAGAAGGCCACACCCCTGAAACATAGTGAATCGTAGGCATAGGCTTTAATGCTGTTCCCCATCAGGTCTGGAGATCATCAAGCCGTCAAAGCACGCAGACTGGAACTCCATTACCAAAGCCTGCAAAGACCTGGAAGACGACCATGCTCGAGTTCGACAAGACCTGATCCTTGTTATTGAACAGAATGCCAATATGTTGATGGAACAGCCCTTTGGAGATCTCATAGGGATCCATACCTATCATAATAATCATAATATATGACAGTGGTAGCGGGGCCAAAGGTGAAGTCATCCATTCGACATTCTTTTTGCATGAATGTAGCCGCGCCCTTGGATTTCTCAGGAAGGAAATGAATGAATTGGATCGGCCAAAGATCTTCGCCGATCTCATCGATCTTCAGTCTGTGGCCTTAAGACACATGGAACCTCATGATGAAACAGGGACAGGACGCCAACCGTCTAACCTCTCCACAGCTGCATGTGCTTGTCTTAGGGTGGAGACTTTGCAACGCCACACCTGTTTCATGACAGAGAAGTCTCCAGTGCTCCCCTAAGCAAAGATTATTCATTGTTATGAAGCTACTTCGGCACAGCTATCTACAGAATCTCTTGCTTTGAGGTGGATAGTGCAGATACTCCGCACCTGAAAGCCATCCGGAATCGCTGCAAGCAGGTGAACAGAAGTGAGTTTTCACAAGCTGGACCGCTGGACAATGGGTTCGGCATACTGGGATGAGGCATGTGTTTGGCAGGTCGAGGCTGAGCTGTCATTCTTGGAGCAGGATATTTTGGAAAAGTTTCGAAACCAGGCAAGCTGAGAATTCTTGAAACCGGTATACTGCAACCTGCCGCTCTTTGCAGCTTCTGTTTTAGTCAGGCATAGTTCTACCTAGCTGTCCTTACCTGGTGTTCTCAAGAAGATGATCCTGATTCCTGATGTCTCTTTTACTCGTACCTTGTGATCCTAGATCCTAATATCATTCGCGACATCAGTAGATTTGCTGAGTTTTACCAACACTATCCATGACTATTTGTTTCAAGAGACAGTTGCTGTTCAGCAGGTGGACTGGGAAGGGCTGGCTCAACTTCCGACGGACCCGCGAAGCCAGGCCTCAATGAAGTGGAATTCGGGTCCCAAGATTTTTTTGTCTTTAAGTCAAGTATGGTCAATTAGGTTCTTGAGGCCTTACCCGACCATTTGTTCTACTCCATTCCATTCCACCCTTCTATTCTTCTATCTTTAGGACGCAGAAGGTAGCAACAAGCAGTTCTTTACAATTCTTTATTCCCAGTGATGAATAAAAGAACGTAGACTTCAGCTTTGACTTCCTGCTTGCTTCGAGTTGACTTGGAAGACGCAGGCGATGGCTCCCACTCCGCTGGTTGAGGCTGCTTTGGAGAAGCTTCCAGGCGAAGTCTCTTGCTTGGAGTCACAACAAAAGTCGCCAGCGGATTCCATGGTTTCTGAACTCCAGTGCGAGCAGTGACCAAGAGCAGCTCTCAACCAGGATACACAGGGAAGTATGTCCATTTCGAGCCTACCCGCTCGAACATTGCCAGCAGCTCAAACAAAAGTGCTTTGATCACAGTTGCAGACAATTCCAGGATGTCCATTGGACTACTCACGGGTCTTCTGAGAACCCACACCTCCGCTCTTTTGTTGACTTAGGCAGAGCCTCCTCGTTGTGGCCGGTGGCTGTTAACTTCAGGGCGGCCACGGAACCCACTGCGGCATCGGGCAGGGCAGAAGTCATTGAAGGACGCATTGGCCGAGGCCCTTCCCGCTTTTGGATGCATTTTTTGTTCGTGACACATCAGTTTTTTGAGACCTGTTTCCAGTAGCCAGATGGCTGGTTAGTTTTGAGGGTCTGACATGTGAGCGACCAATTTTGTATTTTTTTAAATTCAAGCAGTTGAGGCCATGGAGATGATGTATTTTGCAGAGAATCACATTGCAGTCCTGAGATTAGTTCTTAGTTGGAAATCATGTGCCAAACAAGAGACATTCACTCCTGGGATACCCGGTTTGATAGGATCATTTTCTTCACCAACACTCAGTCACACTTAAGACTTAGGGATTCACGATTTTGTAGCAACGCTCCTGATTTCTACATATGAGCAACCGACAAAATTATTGGAATACTAAATATGTAAGAGGCCGCCTTGTGCTTTTAGAGAAGTGAAGAAATCCTTGGCAACCGATAGGGGACGACCCAGCACCGATATCCCTATACCTACCAAATCCTACCAAGATTGTTTTGTTTGTTATTGTTTTTTGATGGCTGTGAATTGGAATTCAAGGTGCTTTTCAATATGAGAAGTTCTGAATCTTAGTGGGTTATATATATATTATATATGTGAAGTGCTTCCAACACTTGTATATGTTCGAACATGTCACCTAACATCCCGCAGCGGCGGGTGCTCGAGCTACAGCCAAAAAGGCACGCCCATCCGTTTGATCGCACGCGATCGGCGCCGGCGGTGGATCCTACACCGGAAAGGCCCACGAGCTGATCCCAGAGTTCAGCGGCAAGTCCAACGACTACAAGGAATACCGCAAGCGAGTGCTCTTGTATGAGCGCAAGATGGACTTAGCCGGTCGAAAGACCGAGACGGCCTTCAACATCATGTCCTCCCTGAAGAACCGGGCATGGGATGCTTGCGAAGACCTGTCGATGGAAGTCCTAGAGAGCGACAGGGGCATGAAGGAGATCTTGATCAG